GGCACCTTAAAGACTAACGGATTTACTTGGGCATAAGCTTTCGTGGGTAAAAACCTCACTTGTTCAGATCTGAAGAAGTGAGGTTTTTGCCCACGAAAGCTTATGCCCAAGTAAATCCGTTAGTCTTTAAGGTGCCACCAGACTCCATAATATAGAAGAGATTTAATATTGAGATCCAGTTAAATTGTTCTATGCATGAAACTCCAATCGCAGTTAATAACAATACTGTACTTTTATCCTAGCATCCATCTAGCAATATCAAAGTACTTTCAAAAAATGGGTAAGCACTGTTATCCCAGTTTGACAAAGGAAGTCACAGAGGGGTTAAGGCTTCGCAGTGAGTCAGAAGCAAAGTTGGGTCAAACCCAAATCTCTTTACTTGCAATATCCTGTTCTGACAAAATCACCATCCTAGCCAGTAGATCCATGGCTAAATTAGTGGGAAATGTTTATATGGGCCTCATCCCACTGTCTAATTTTGCAAACAAGACACAGGACATACTTTCTTAACTACTTGTTTTGTAGCTGAGTCCCTATCATATGCATACATGACTAACTGCAGGCATAAAAGTGAGCAGGGTAGATAAAAACTGATGATTTAAAAAAAATTGGATTTTTTTAATGTAAATCAGGTTTTTTATTATTTAATTATAAACAGTTTTTCTTTTTAAAAATAAACCTGTTTAAAATTAAGTCTGAATATAATACAAAATATGTTAAGGGGTAAACTAATTTTAATTTGTAGTAAATGTGAAACCTGTTTTGATAAGCGAAGTTTATATATCCAAATCACTTAAAGTGTTTTGGTTAATAAAAATAAATTTTATATGCTCTTTTGTGTGTTTAATTAAATTCCAATTACCAACTTAATGCGGTTTAACACAAATTATGAGCAAAAAGTTAATCATCATTCACTATTTTCTAACATACTAAAAACGTACAGTTAATAAGAATCTGAAAATATTAAGCTACATAACTACATAAATAAATATATAAAGTTATAGTGTACCCACAAAAAGATGGACCAAATCTAGTGTAAAGGCTCTATTTAGTTGTAAATCAACATGTTTTAATGTTATATCAACCAATAAAAATGCACCTTTCTTTAGAAAATAACTGAAGTAGAAATTGTAAAATTGATTAAAATGGATGATTTAAATTGAGGTTTTCCACTGGGTGAATTAAATCATGCTTTAAATCGCTGATTTAAATCAATCCACCCTGAAAGTGCGTCTTTGAAACCTTCTTTCAAAATCCGAACCTTAATGCTTAATTTGTTCACTGTAATAACCAGTGGAAGCACCAGGGCCAAATATTTAAGGTATTTTATCTTTCTTTCATTCCTAGCTATAGTAGGTCTTGTCAGGCTAGATACTCTAGAGCAGTGGTTCTCAACCTATTTATCATTGTGGGCTGCAGATGTGGCCCACAAAGCGTTAGCTGGGCTGCAAATTGAGAACCACGGTGCTCCCCCACCTAACGCCCACACACACACACACACACACCCCTATACCCAGCGCCCTCCATCCAGAGACCCCTCCACAGAGTGGGGCTAGGAGTGGAGAGCTGGGCATGGGGCAGGGACCCTGACTCCGAACCCTTCTGCGCGGGGACCCTGACCCCCACCGTGTGGAGCCGGGCAGCAGCCAGCTGCCTGGACCCCAAGCCCCACCGTGAGGCAGCCAGCTGCCCAAACCCCAGGCCCCAGACCCCACTGGGACCCCAAAATCCGCCGGAAGCTTGGAGCCTGCTGCGTGGCAGGGCAGCCAGGAGCCCGCGGCAAGGCATCCGGGAGCCCAGAACCTACAACCTTTAGCACACAGCTGATCTGGGCTGCAGCTGTGTGCTAATTGGCCCGCATGCAGCCCGTGGCTTGAGAACTGCTGCTCTAGAGCTTTATCAAGCTAAGTAAAGAGAACGTTCCATTTAACAGCAATAAAAAGCACTGAACTGTGTCATGGCATAGCTTTCAGCCTCTTTTTTTGAGTAACTTGTGGTGCTTGGGCGACTGAAACAGATGGCACTGGTTAGAGCCCAGCATTGTGGGGGATTATCCTATGCATGTCTCCCCACACAGCTTTACCAGAGCACTCTAAGGCAGGCTTGCTGTACTCCTGACTCCTGTTCTAAACAGGGACTGCCAATTCTTGCAAACAATGTCCAAGTCATGCAGGGAGGGATGGGAGGAAGCAAGGGAATAAGTGATGGGAGGGTGGCAGGAGGCAAAGGAAGAGGAAAGGGAAGGGCAGCTGTGGTTTAGTCTTCTCTGTGAAGCCACTTAGCAAAGTTGTAGATACTAGAAGATGAGGAGAAACAAACAAACAAACCCATCAACAGTGGACTGATCAAAAAGCTGGGAGATTTGAGATCTACTAGTACTCTGCTACTCACTCTCTGGGCCTGATCTACCTGTAGAATGGTGATACTACTACTAACGCAGCTTTGTAAAGTGACTTAAGACAAAGGGACGGCAAGTGCACAGAAGATTTAGCAAGAAAATCTCCAACAGGCCTCAGGGGAAAAAGACCTGGGGTGAAATCTTGGTTCCATTGATGTGAATGACAAAAACTCCCATTGACTTCAACAGAGCCAGCATTTCATACTTTTGGTGGGGAGTTGCAGGGAAGCCCTGCAGGTGATTCTGTACGTAATAAGGAAAAGGGGAGCAAGGAGAGGGAGAAGCAGAAGAGATGTTAAGAAATTAGTTTGATTCAAGAGTCCCTGAGTCTCAGGAAGTGCTGGCTTTCACTGAGCTGCTTCAACATGAGCTATGTATCAACAATATAGGCAAGCAGGTTGGCTAGTAATACATTACTTGTGTGAGTGAGTAGCCATGCTCACCACATCCTCACGCGCAGTCTCTTTCCAAGTGGTAAAGAGACATCTACACTAAGGACTAAAAGCCGACACTCAAAACTTCACTTGTTAAAATGTTGGAGATGCAAGGATAACATACTAAAATATTATCAGACACCAGACCCTTTTGTTTGTGATACAGTTTAAACTAATTTTAATCCCAGTTATCATGGAGAGCAAATATTATTTTAATTTTAAAGAGCACCCATGTACATTACTGGAAACATACCTGTGGCAGCACTGTTAATAATTCAATAATGGTGACCAAAAGGCCTTTTGCATTCACATAGTTAGTGTTCCCATTTGATTTTTGAAATGGATTACCTGCACCATAATAACTGGCCCTCCATTCTGATAGAGATGAGGCTTCATTTTGGGTAACAAGACACCCATCCATCTTTCTACAGCTGCCAAGTAATCTGGAATATACAAAGAAAAAGTTGTGGGTAGACCAGAGTTCATCTACTTTAAAACAAAAACAAACTACATATGGGATATTTTTGTAACCAATACCCTAAATACCAAGGGTATGCACAACATGTACAAGAGCAACAAATAATGAACTGATGACATCCTGTACTTGCTCATAACTTCAGCGTCTCGGTACGTAGGGAAGTCAAGTGGCTTCAAGGACCACACCCGAATCATTCCAATATAGTACAGTCTAAAAACAGGTGGTAATGTCCCCACAAAACAGAAAAATATCCAGTTACCTTAAAGAACATTATCCTTTACAATTTAAGGGTCCAACCCTGCAAATCCTTACACAAGTAGTCTTGCTGTTTTCCACCCTGTGCCTACCTTATTCTTTCCATACATTTATGCACAGTGCAAAAGTATTCAGTGAGTATGAAAACCTTATTCAGAGAGCATTCACATTTCTTATTCCCCAACTTTTAGTAGAAACAGTAACACAATACCATATTTGAAAATACTGCCTGACCCTAGAGCAGGGGTAGGCAACCTATGGCACGTGTGCCGAAAGCGGCATGCGAGCTGATTTTCAGTGGCACTCACACTGCCTGGGTCCTGTGTCCAAGGGGCTCTGCATTTTAATTTAATTTTAAATGAAGCTTCTTAAACATTTTAAAAACCTTATTTACTTTACATACAACAATAGTTTAGTTATATATTATAGACCTATAGAAAGAGACCTTCTAAAAACGTTAAAATGTATTACTAGCATGTGAAACCTTAAATTAGAGTGAATAAATGAAGACTCGGCACACCACTTCTGAAAGGTTGCCGACCCCTGCCCTAGAGTTTGGCCACCAAGTCTGCTTGCCATTGAAACATTTTTATAGATCTTTTTGAGCTCCTTACCTAAATCAGAAGATCGGAGAACAATAGATTCTTTCTCTAATAACCATGCTGGAAGACCCCCCTGTGAAGGGAAAGGAAACCATTTCAATGACCATTTTCAGGAATTACAAGGATAAGTTTAACTAGCTATTCCATAACTATATAGCTATTACCAAGTAAGTACTAGTCATTGGGGACTTACATAGGGTGACCAGACAGCAAATGTGAAAAATCGGGACAGGGGTGGGGGGTAATAGAAGCCTATATAAGAAAAAGACCCAAGAATCAGGACTGTCCCTATAAAATCAGGACATCTGGTCACCCTAGACCTATAGTACCCAAGACCATATTAAGGACCAACGCGCCTGAGGCTATAGGAAGTCACTTAAGCAGAACTTGAACCTACAACTTTCAGTATTCTAGATGAAGAATCCTCCCTTGGGCCATATGTTCAGTGGTAGGGAATCCTTTTACTACTGTAACCCCCTCACCCTCCCCCCACCAAAAGGAAGGACACATATTAGACAGAGATCAGATGTTAACTCTGCCTAGAAATTAGGAAGTTTAAATACAAATTTACCATGTCCCATTCTGCGCAGATATAAGGTCCAGCTCTTAGTATTACCAACAAGCCAATTTCATTAGCTAGCTGCAGGAAATATTCTATATCTCTGTCACCAGAGAAGTTATATACTCCTGGTTTGAATTCATGGTAGTTCCATGGCACGTATCTGTGAAGAAAACACCATCCATAAGAAGTGACTTAGACTAGAATGAAAAAGGAACGCCAAATAATGACTTAATCTAATGCCAAGGAAACAAACTATTTGCACCTCAACTTTACAGTTCTGTAAACATGTATTTACTTCCAGACTAATGGAATACAAGAATGAATTTAGGACCTAGCTCCTGTAAGGCACTTCTAGAAGCTGAAGATGCTAAGGTTAGCACCAAGTATGATCAGGAACTTAGAAGGGAAACAGATGTCTCTATTTTTTCATGCAGTCAGTATTTTTTGCACATACTCTTCCTTTCTAACAGTATCAATGTCATAAAATATATTAAAAGCAAAAATAATTCATTGTGCATCCTCATCTAGCTTCAAAACTCTGAAAAGTCATTGTGAAACAGAAGTGGTGGGTAGTCAAGCAGAAAGCCTCTCACACAGCACTTCTAGGATTTTTTTTTATTTATTTTTTTTTTAAGGTAAAAGTTTTTATGTTTTGTAAAAAAAAGCCAAGAGAACAATGCAGTGCCAATACTACCTTTTGTCGATAGAGGAAAAACAAGAACCAGTACATGCGTGGATTACATAAATGTATGTATTTAAAAGTTATATACTACTTACAAAATATCAGAAATTCTCAGATTTGTAACACAAGGGAGGAATCTGCCCAATTTTCTGTGCAGCCAAGATGCATCCTTTCAGCTTTGCAAGTAATTTTAATTGCCTTCCCAACCTATCTATAATGTTTCCAATATCCTTATTACTTGGCTCTTCTATAGCCAAGGATTTGAATATGAATGGAAGCACGTTAAATGTCAGTTTTGTTTTCTTGCCTGGATTTGAAAGGCTAATGAGGGGCAAGCTGACTGCTTCCATTTAAGATAGGATCATTAAAGCTGACAAAATAAATAAATAAAAAGCTACACCCTTACTTTTAAAACACATTCATTGTCCCACAAGTTAAAGCCACTGAAAGAACACATATACCACCATCACTATCGTGATGAATCAGTGTTTTTTTCATCGTTTACCAGGTCACTACTACTGCTGAAAAGGGTTCTTTTGCTTTCTACATTAAAACACTTTGCCGTTGCTTAGACTATATTCTTTATGAAGTGGAGAACAGCAGCACATCCGAGGTTGCTGAACCGGCCACATAATATCTGTTCTGTGTTCTCTCTTCCAGTTGCCTACATAGTGGGGGAGTCACTTTAAAAACCAACAGAGTAACATTAAAGCCCTTAAAAAGATACAAGGTTTTTTTACAAAACTCCTGGAATTATTTTATTTTAAGAACTAATATCTACATTTAAAAAAAAAAAAAGTACTGAAACTTCAAGTACCTAGAGGCAGCTGTTTCTTGGAGAATGAGTTTCCAAAAGGTATAAATGTATCTGGCACCAGCTAACAAAATTAAAAACAAACAGACTATGATGTTCAAACATCCTTCATATAAATTCAGAGCAGCCAACAGTATCCGTTGGTTCTTCAAAGAAGCCCTTTTGCTACGGTACTAATTTCTCCTGTGTTGTAAATATCTGGCTCCATCTAGTGGTTAGTTACTTAACTGCATCTTTTGAAAAATCACCTGTAGTCTCAGCCAGGGATTTTCAAACTCCTGTTTTTTATAGTGCAAACAACACTAAGAGAGATTGTCTTATGTAGCAATATTTCTCCAATGCATGAATACACATGCTATCTTCTCTCCAATTCATGATCATCTAACAACCCTTTGGCAACTACACCAACAGTTTACACAGAAAGGCAATGTCAGGAAAGTATTTATTTTTAGCTGTCTGAATACAGCAATTGCAATCTCCATGGAATACTGAAGCTCCAAGAGTCAAGCTGCAGCCATTCATCCCATGAAACATGGAAGCTCTGCTGGGCATGCAAGGAGTTCCTTGAGACACAGCTACTCCCCTCAGAATTTGAGCTTCCATAAAAATAACTCTCCACAGTCTATATTGTTAACTAAATCAGTAAAGTACTTACTTAATGGTAAAACTAGAAGCAAGCACTAATTTTCACAGGGGGACAGTTTGTAAAATCCGTTTGAAGTTTACTCATCTTAGCCAAGTTTTATTAGTGAAGAAAAAAAGAAATCCACTCAATCTTCCTCCCCACCCTCCCATTAACTAAAAATCCACACAAGCCACATCCAAGTTTTCTTTTGTCAGTGTGAAAAGTTACCATTAAGTCCCATTAATCAAAATTTGCTTGCCTGGCTACCTGCAAAGTTTCTGATTTTATATATATATATATAAAAATAAAAACACACACACACACACACGGCAGCAATAGAGTTCCTGGGACTTACCTCAGACATCCTCCAACCTGAAAGGGAGCAGCCCCACCCACCTGAGGCTAGTCCAAGGAAAGCATATGGAAAAGAACAGTAATGGTAGTGAAGAAAATTATGTGACTCCTTACACACCGACTCCATGGTTGCTTCAGGGCTCAAGCACCCACCGAAAAAAAAATTGGGGGTGCTCAGCACCTGCAGAGCTGGATTAATATTTTGTGGGCTGCAGTGCCTGGACCATGGCCCCACCAACTTCTTTTTCTGCTCAGCCTCTTCCCTCCAAGGCCCCACCCCTGCTTGGCCTCTTCACCTTGAGGCCCCGCCCACTGCTTGCACGGGGGAGAGGAGAGGAGAGGAGTGAGCAGAGAGGAGCACCCACTGGCAAAAACAAAAGTCAGCACCTGTGCGTGACCCCACATCCCACTGTAAATGTGCTCCTGCGGCACAGGTAAGAAAAGTACTTTAAGAAGGTACCTATCAGTCATCCCTGAACTAGTAGCAACTGCTACATACTCAGGGAATACCTCTGCAGCCCTACTTTCCTTTCTTTGCAAGAGCACATGCCTCACAGAGCCACCAATGGACACTAGCACTCCAAGCATCCTGTGTAGCCTTTTGCTAAGTGAGGGAAAAGGGAGGGATGGGAGCCACAAAACAAGAAAGCAGTGAAAACAAACAACACGCAGAGAAATTTTAAAAAGATGAGTAGGGAAAAAGAACAGGGAAGAAAGAGAAAATAGCAGGATAAAAATGCAATAATTTTGCCAGGACACAGCATGAGGAGAGGTATGAAGGAGCCACCCATCACACAAAGGAAGATCCATCAGAAAAAACAATGACCTATTGTACAGAATAACAGAGAGAAGGTAAAGGATCTCAAAGGAACAGGAAAGAGAAAGCATTTGAAATAGCAGGAAAGGAACAAAAAGGTTTAAAGGAAAGAAACAGAGCAGAAAAGTGAGAGAGAATCAGAGGGGAACATATAAGAAACTCTGGAGATCATGAGCCATAGAGGCAGTGTATACTACTACACCTAGGTTGGTAGTCAAGGTTAGGAAACAGAGGAAAAGAAGAGCAATCAGACCAACTGTTGACACTGTGTAGATTCATTTAACAATTTGGGATTATTGTTATTGCAATTTATAACCAAATTTAAAAAGTAACTATTCGTACACCTTGAAGCAACATCTCCAGGAGCCACCCAGCAAATACTCTACTAATGGCTCTTTTTTGGTATGACAGGAGTCATTGGCTACTGGCTTAGATTAATAAAAGAGCAGCAGTCCAACAGCTCTAGAAATACAAGTATGTTTTTGTAACTCACTAAATAAAGATGGACTCAACCCCCAAGGAGACAGTCTGGAACCATCAAACAAATCCCCTCTTTTCTCATCCACGCACCCACACTCACTCACCCATCCCCCACACAGGGCTCCTTAGAAAACAGACAAGCTATATGGTGTCAGATGGGAGGGAGTAAATTCCAAACATGCAGGCACTCCCCACTGAGCAAACCATGCCTGCTCATGAACATATACGTGGGCTAGTGTGTCATAATTTATCTCAACTGCCAAGTTGTAATACAAGCAGAGAAGCAGTTTAAGATACAGGATCCAAATCATAAAAAGCTTTGTAGATTAGATTAGGCGTAGCAAGCAGAGCGCTATATAACTTGTTTCAGTTTGAAGTGGAGCATTTGTCAGCTCAGCTACATATTTGCAGCGCTCCTGGATTCTCTAGGGTGTCGTCAGCTATAATCAAAAAGAGGTTGCCTTGTACACTTAGCTTGCCTACCTCTCCCTCGTTGTTCTGGTTTAAGACTGCTCCCAAAAGTCAATAGTTACTTACGTTTGAATAGCATCAAGCCCCGCCATCTTCATCTTCAACAGACGGTCTTTCCAATAGTACCGGGGCACACGGGAGTAATGAATGCTGCCCGAGATGTAGCGGAATGGTTTCCCATCTTTGAGGAAGTAGTTCTTGTCATAATCGATCCCAAAACTCCTCTGGGGTGCATTCTGTGTATCAAGAAGATTACCAGGTGTGAACTTCAACCTCCATGAAAAGGACAACAGTTTTCTGTTAAAATATCCTGCTTATTAAACTCTTCAGTACACTAGGTCTCTGGGATGTTTCGAAGTACGACATGCAGTGATATTATATTGACAATGCAAGGTCCCGTCCACCCCACCCTTGCTAAAAAAAAGTCCACCTTCACCTAGTAGGCCACGCCTGTTAGGGTGCATGTGCTGCAGAGATCAGGAATGGGAGGGGATTGGGCAATCCTGGGTCTTCATTTCTGGGGCGCATTTTTGGACTGCTTGCCTCATTTGGTGCAATTTGATCTACTCCAAAAAGGCAAGATGTTGCTCTTCAGTGGGACATGATTTTAAGACCTTTCAGTGGTAAGGCAAGTACTATTTCAAGGGACTGCTTCAGACGCTGATAAACCCTCCCACTCCTCTCTTCCAGTTGGCAGCAGAATTTTAATATGAAGCTCCCCAGAGTTGCTTCCAGCACTTGCCAAATGAGCTGAGCTAAGCAAGATCAAAGGAACCACAGCAGACATGTAGGCCAAGCAGTGATGGCAGTATTTAATGCTGCATTGAAGTGGCTTGGTTCTCCACTGCCTTTCACCTTGGATAGTCTTTCGTCTGCATCAAGCAGATGTAAAGCATCATCACTCTGTGCTGGTAGCATCACTTTGCACAGGTCTACCGGACTACACAAGGTACAGGACAGTGAAAGTCAGGAACAAGGAACCTGAACTGATTCAGAGACTTCTAAAGACTCGTTCAACACATCAAGTCACTGATCAATTCATTCATACTTTGGAAAGGGAATGAATTGTAATGACCCTTCTCCTGCTAAATTTCACATTGAAAACTAAAAGGCGCAACCAGCCCTGAGTACTGACACAGACATGTCACAAACTCCATGTGCAAGAGTATGTTATCTGAAGGGTTTAAGAGCTTAGTTTCTAATAAGTGGGGGGCTCTTCAGTTGCCCATACTCTTAAATTTCCATTAGTCTCTAAATTAAACAATTTTATCAATTTTCAGGAGAGGTGAAGGAAGGAGAATTGTTCAGACACATGGCCAAAAAAAGACAGCAAACTTCTGCCAAATAAGATATATTATCTATGAAGTTAAAAAGACAAAGCAATGTATATTGCAACCAAACCCCTACATTATAATCTAAGACAATTACCAATAAATTTCCACTAGCACTCCATGTAATACTGGGTACTTCTGTAGCCCCTTTCAGAGGAGGATCTCAAAGCAATTTACAAGCAGTGAGCTTAGCCTCATCACACCCTTGTATGATTAATATCTCCATCTAGCAGATGGAAAAACTAGAGCAGAGAGAGTTAAGGGCCAGATTCTGATATCTTAACTCCATAAATATAGGTTCACTCCTCAAGGGCTTCCATTGACTTTAGTGAGGTGCTACCCAGCATCAGTACGGGTACTAGAATCTGACCTTAAGTGACTTGGCAAAGACTGATTACACAGGAAGTCATTGGCAGAGCCAGGAACAGAATCCAGATTGTTCTACAGTCCTACTTCTGTGTTTTTAAAGGGACACTGCACTTTACATTTTGTAATTTTGAGGGGGGGGAAATCAATTAAAAGTATTTTTAAAACTATCAACCCCTTCACTTTGCCTCCCCACAGTGTCTGAAACCCTGCAGTGCTGGGAACCTGAAAGAGAAACTGACTGCACACACAAAAATGATACTGACTTCATTTTCATTCTCTAAACAGAGAGAAGAGAGTAACAAACTGACCAATGAATTGGACTTTTATAATTTTCACTTTTAATAATCTAAACTGTTGTTAGCACCAAGATACAGATATTTGTTTACAACATATTACTTTTGAGTTAACAGTACACTTTAACCAGACAGATGCTTTCCTGTTCCCACGTACACCTATTTCCTTGTTTCAACCAGATTTCGTGCATGCGGGTATTGTTTTTAGGTCATTCACCTTCAAGCATGACCTTTCCACATTTCCGCGCATGCACGCACACACACACACACACACACACACACACACACAATCATCTTTATTTAGCATCAGGTGGTAGGTCAGAAGTCAAAACACAAAATGGACAAAGAAGCAGCATACTTGTCCAATTGAAACAGACCTTTTAAATTGAGTGAATTTAATGCAGCTGAAAGGCAATGGCCTACTTTAATTCTGGAAGGGTGGGCCCAAGTCAACATAGGACAAAACGTTCACACCCTCAGCTGAGGGAGGGGCCACAGACCCCAGAAAATAGATTCAGTGGAAAAACAAATGGTAAATCAGGAAAGCTGGGGGATGAGATTAAAAACAAGGATACTGGATGCGGGGCACCAAGTAGCGAACCCTGACCACCACCAACTGCTCCGCAAAGGAGTCAGTGGAAACCACCCAGAGGAATTCTGCCCAGATGTGAGAGACAATTAGGGAACAGTAGGCCCCACAGCAACAGAAAACCTCCCCACTGAGCGTCCACCTCCCGGCCAGCTGGATGGCCATCCCAGCCAATGCCAGGAAAAGGTGAACGAGGGGGTCCCATGACTTTGTGTGGCTACGGACAAGGAATCCATAGAAGAAAAGATGTGGGGAAGTGCAGCCAGCACCTCAGCAGGTGGTTTTGCAGGAGGTGGAACAAGGGTCTGGTGCAGGTTGGCGTGTGCCAAGGTTGTCCCTGCGCTGCAAAAGAGGGCAATTGCCCCGGAGGACTTCACAAAAACAGTGTCAACACCATTGCTTGACATCTGTGATAACTAAAATGCATTTGGTGTGGATATCTGATGGATTCTTAACCTTTGCAGGCTTCTCAAGTTACTGCTGTCTTCTCCCTGTTGGCATTTGGCTCTAGAGTTCCTCAACAAGCAAACTCTCTCCAATCAAGAGCAGTACCAATTTCTTTCTAACTGTAGTTTGTGTTTTAAAATTCTCTACTGCAGCTATCAGGAAATGAGGGACCATATTACCTAAATAAAAAATTCCTAAAGTGTATCTTGAGAGAAGATTTTAAGCCAGAATTGAAGGAAATAAGAAGGAAAAGGGAGTTGGGGGGTAGGGGAAGGGAAGAGAGACAGCATCAAATGAAATCTAGTACACTGGAGGAGGAGAAGAAAAGGAATGAGTCAAATAAGTACACTCAATGGGCAGGAGTAACCTGGAAACATAGAGCTGCTGAGAGACTATGGTGATGGAAGCACTAGAGAAAGAAACCCAGGAACTGGGCCAGTTCTAGGATCCCATTATTGGGGGTGCAAGCAGTTACTTTGGGACCCATGCATGTCACTATTTAAAAAACAACCAACCTTCCACCCTAGACAGTGCGTGGGATAACAACAGCTAATTCAATGTGTATTTGCAATGCAACATGACAGCAAGAGGAGCCAATGCGATTTTAGGCTGTCTACACACACAGCATGTCACAGACCAAAAAGGGAACAGTTAACATGGCTCTGGGAGGACAGCACCTGGAGTATGTTCAGGGCTGGGCACAATATTACTAGAAAGAAAGAAGAGCCCAGCCACCCTTAAAGTTAATGTGGATTAAGGTAGGGTGTGAATTTACAGTGCAATAGCTCTTCCTAAATCACTCCAGAAAGAGAGTGCCCACCAATGGCATTAAGAGTGCTTCATTCCCATTTCGTTTAACCCACTTTCAAAGTTAATCAGGAACAACTCCATGTTGTAGATGAGCTGAAGTGCAACAGAGTAACAAAGACAAAATGGAAGGAGCTCAGAGGAGCAACAAGAACTCTCAGAATGCTAGAGGGAAAGATTGAGAGGCAAACACACACAATTCAAGAGTACCACTTAGGGAGAGGGAAATGTGATAAGAGTGCAAACTCCAAGGGTGGGGGAGGTATTTAGTGAGGTGCAGTTAGGATAAAAGGGTGCAAATAAGGAAAACCTAAAATGAACTTGAGGAAAACATCCTGGCAGCACTTCAGAACAAGGCCATGTCTACACTACAAACTGTGGTTGATGAAAGTTACCTTGATGTACAGCCACTGAAGTTTGTATATCGCTGGCACAGGTGCACACTTTGCTGCTTGTGTTGCTGCTGCGCGTACTCACCAGGAGTGCTTGTGTTGATGTAAAGAGTGGTGCACTACGGGTAGGTATTTCAGTGTGACACACACTGCCATCCAGTGCAATGCCTTTTGGGAAATTTTCACAATATATTGTGGGATAGAAATGATTCACTCAGGGATCTCTGGGAGCTAGGGAGTCAAGTTTCCAGCATGTGAGACAAAGGGGGATAAGCTGCTGCTAGGGTGGAGGACGGACATGAAGCAGCTGACTGCTGAGTTTGAACAGCCAGATTCAAGGGCTATTACAAGAGCTCAACATGGCGCTATGGAGTGAAGGAGGCTTTGAAAGAGCCCTTTAGCAGTCAGCCACAGTAGTGTTCTGTGATGTAGTGTTCTCTGGACCTGGAACTTCAGGTGCTGCTCAGAATTGTGTAGTGCTTGCTATATATTCATAAATATGACTGGGTGTTTTCCTGGAGCTATGAATACTATGGTGCTTGCTGTACATTTACAAGGACTGTTTGCTTTGAATACCGCTATGCATTCTGCAATATTTGTTGTGAACTAATAAAGATCATTTGATTCTCCAAAAACATTTATTAAGTGGGAAAAACTGTACAAAACCCCCCACAAGCAATGCAATACAAATGTGTAACATAACAAGGTGAAAACAAATGTTTACTTCCTTTCTAATTTTATGTCCATTTGAATGCACAAATGTAGTCCATTTTGGAAACACACATACCAGTCGTGGTCCTCATAGGTCAGTGTATGTGAAGCTATGTTTTTCTTTGCTACCCCACCTCCCTCCTTCCCCGCGTGGAATGATAGAGGCAACGATCCGCCCCGTGATGCCATGTGGTATGTTGTGGGGTGTAGGAACAGTGACCATGAAGTTCTCCAAATAGTGCAAAGGATGGAGAATCCAAGATTTTGGGACCTGCAGGACAACCAGCAGCATTTGAATCTGCTGTCTGAGAAGACCAATTATGTCCTAACGCATTTCCCACTCCTTATCCTGCTTGGACTCCTGGGCCTTTTTCCTGTCCCCTGTGTCTTTCTCCATGCTGTTGGTCGTACAGGCTCTCCGAGCCCTTTGTTCATGGTCCGATGCAGCACTGTCTGGCAGGATCTTGTAGAATACGTCTGCCTCAGTCTTCTTCTTTCTCCTCCTCCTCATCAGGATCAGGCGTTCTGCAGGTGTGGAGGGGGAACTCCTCAAGGCGGCCACCCTAGAAGGTGCTGATAAAAACAGACAGATGTACCATTGGATTTACAGACACAAGGGAAAGGGAAAGATAAGTTTCAAAACTCCCTTCCCTTATTCCCATAAACATTTTTAAAAGACATGCTTATTGGCCCTTCTGCTTTGGAGCAACTCTGCACAGCACCACTCTCCAATCCCAGACATGGTGAGTACGGCGTGCCAGGGGTGGGGGATGTTCCGTCGTATGAAGCTATATAATTTTGGTCCCTATTCCGTAAGTAGTATAGGGCACTGAGCACTGGCACTATTTTCCACAGGCAGTGGTGCTTTAAGCTGATGTCTCACTCTGGCAGGTATCAAAGGCACAGAGAGCACAGCTACTACTGGCTTCCTGAAGCAACCCAGACCCATATGTTGCTAGCCTGTTTACTGCAATGGTGCCAGCTAAAGTCATCACGGAATGGCATGGGGAAATGTCCTGCCATGGAGGAAGAAATAAGGCTGCCATCCCTAGCAATCATTGGGAAAGGATTGCAGAGTACCTCCATGAAAGTTTCATCAAGATCTCTCAGGAGGATAAAAGGGACATCCCTATGCACAACACCAAGATGCTGCACATGTCATTACCCTGTAGGGTTAGGCTGGGGACAAGTAGATAACTCTACCTATGTTTTTTGTACCACTACTTCCTCTTGTATGAGCAAATGAAAAGTTGATACCTGTCTCTTGTTAACTTGGGGTTGGTTCCATCTTTAAATTTAAAGAACGTACAGAAAAATGCATGTACACACTTAACCGAGTTCCCTTCCCCTTCATCAGGCTCATCAACGCTCACCTGGTGGCACTGGCTAAACTGTGTCAGTCTCACACAGGTCCTGGCTTGCTGCATGACTGGAATCCCCAGCTGTGTCTCCCCCACACTCCTTCCTCCTCGCTGTACAGGTCTCTGTCTTGGGCTCCTCGGAGGTATCCACAGTGGTCTGCGGGGTGCTGGTGGGGTCTCCGCCAAGTATGCCATGCAGTAACTTGTAGAAGCAGCAGGTCTGAGGCGCAGCACCAGATCTATTGTGGCGCTCCCTGACCTTGTGGCATCCTGTGAAGTTCCTTCACTTTCATGCGGCACAATCTCTTCTCCCCACAGGCCCAGGAGATCCAAAGCACCTGTCTACTCCAGCCTGGAGCACATCTAATACCTCTCTGTCTGTGTGGGGCCAGCACAGTTGGCTGGGCAGATGCACACAAGAAGGGAGAGCTGCTAGGTGCGTTTACCAACATCTGTACTCAGGAAAAGGTATCGCAACATGTGAGGGGGAGGGAGGATGTTGAAAGGAGGGGGTGGCTTCTGGTCTCTGTGACCCCTAGGCAGTGGAGTTTAAAATTGTAACCAGAGTGGTCACTGTTCCAGAGAATGGGACATTGTGGGACAGATGCTGAAAGTCTGTTAGAGTTGACACAGGTCATGCAGTGTCTACACTCGCACTGCATTGACCTCAGTAGGACAAGCATGGTTCCACACCATTTGGGGAGGTGGTTTGACTGTGTTGACATAACAAGGCACTTACATCATAAGAATGGCCCTACTGGGTCAGACCAAAGGTCCATCTAGTCCAATATCCTGTCTTCTGACAGTGGCCAGTGCCAGGTGCCCCAGATGGAATGAACAGAACAGGTAATCATCAAGTGATCCATCCCCTGTCGCTCATTCCCAGCTTCTAGCAAACAGAAGCTAGGGACACCATTCCTGCCCATCCTGGCTAAAAGCCATTCATGGACCGATCCTCCATGAATTTATCTGGTTCTTTTTTGAACCCAGTTATGGTCTTGGCCTTCACAACATCCTCTGGCAAGGAGTTCCACAGGTTGACTGTGCATTGTGTCAAGAAATACTTCCTTTTGTTTGTTTTAAACCTGCTGCCTATTAATTTCATTTGGTGAGCCCTAGTTCTTGCATTACATCGGCTGGAGACAAATTGGAGTGTAGACACATGCACAAATAATGTGACACAAGGTAACTTATGTCAACCTAACTTTGCAGTGTAGACCAGGCTTTAGAACAGCCTCCCAAGGGAAGTAGCTGAAGCCCCATCACTTGTGGGAGATTTACAACTAGACAGGCTAAAGTGATCCTGTATTGACCGGGAACTGGAACGGTCGATCAAATAGGTCTTTTTTCCAATCTAACTCCTATAAATCAAAAACCCATCCATAGGATGTGAACAGAATCTGGTCCAATAAGAGATATTATCTCACCCACCTCATCTCCCTCTAAAGCAAGACTACAGACAAGGAGGCAATGAATAGCTGGATAATGGAAGCTATTTAGGCCCTGATCCTGTAAACATTTAAGCACATGCTTAACCTTATTCATGTGAGCTGTTCCATAGAAGTCAAAGGAGCTACTTGCAGGAGTTAACACACATGCTAAAGCGTTTTCAGGATCAGGGCCTTAGACAGCCGAAGGGTAAAGCAGCGGATCACCAAGTATTTTAGAACAAAAATAACTCAAAAGCCTGGAGTCTTATCCTAGGAGTTACTTTTCTATAAGCAGTCCCCCTCCTAGCTGTACTGCCTCCCAACTACTGAATCTCAAGCCATCAGAGAATGCCCAAGTAAGTGCCAGATTGATGATTTTTATTTTAAGTCTGAGTGGAATGATGCAGCTGTTCATTTGCAATCTCCACCTCAAGTGACAGAGATCCTTCCACTGTACATGAATGGAAACACAGTGTATGTTCCATGGGGAAAACATTCATAAGCAGCACCACCAGTAAACAGAAGGTGTTGCACATTCTGGTCATGCCTCAAATGCAAGTTCAGTGCCACTGCTGGAGCAACAGTTTCAGAATTACCATCATCATTAAACTAGGGCTTAGAACCTGGGCACAGTAACAGTGTTTCACTATCCTATTAATAAAATTACAAACAACAGCAAACAACTATGTTAAAAGAACATTAAGGTTCTGAAGTCAATCACGAAAAAACTAGAAAGTGCCAGAACTAAGGTTGCTCCTTATCTATGCAACCTTAATTCGACCCTTGTGCATACACATGATGATACAGTCTTCAATTACAGGACCACAGAGTGGATAAAAAACAATTAAAAAAAAATTAAATTAGTTTTTAAAATCGGATTTTTTGATAAAACGCTTTTTAAGGAAAAAAACCTATATTATAGCTCAAAGATATTGTTGTCCCACAAATTTATACAGGATTGTTTTAGGGGTCAAGACAAAGATGCCACATTTATTATGATAACAATTTGATTTATGACCAATAACTAATATCTTAATCCTTATACACACACATTATACCTAATACCTATAAACACACACACACACACACACACATTTACACACACACACCCATCAGATATTTTGCAGCTGCTGCATAGTTACCAGTCCTGCTTGAGTCTGTGGCTTGAGTTTGCAGCTTGGGTTCGTAGCTTGTGGCGGCTAACTGGCCAGGAAAGCCGGGCACAAGGACGAGCTGGGTCTCTGTTGGGCATGCACCGATGCCCTTCCATGTTGGCAGCAAAATGTTACCCTCCTCCAAAGTTTTCCATCTCACCCATCCTTTTTGTAGGCTTTAGTTTGAATCCAGAGTCTATAGGTCTTGCTGTGTCACGCTGCCTCTGGGTTTGGTGATTGATCACCTGTCAATTGCAGACATGACTTTCAGCCTGGGACCGGGCTTTGATCTTCTTTCTATTGTACCTTTTCTTTTTAGGGTGGATTTTTCTTACTTTGTTAGGGCTCTTGTCTGCATCTTCAGCCGCTGGTGTTTGAACTCTATTTAATCAGGACAGGCTGGGGCTGGAGGTTGATTCCATCATCCATACATACCTCATTCACACATCTAAACTAAACTAATAAGATTACAGCAGGGTTTGCAAAAATGAAGGTTGCAGCAAGCCCCTACAAAATGGAGTAAGCGTTTTAAAATGGGGTTTGAATTACAATATGGCAAACAGTGAACAGAAGTTACACTGTAGGCAAGAGTAATAAATGGTGAACAGAAGTTACAATACTGAAACAGTGCAAGGCCTGGTCTACACTAACCCCCCCACTTCGGACTAAGGTACGCAAATTCAGCTACGTTAATAACGTAGCTGAATTCGAAGTACCTTAGTCCGAACTTACCGCGGTCCAGACGCGGCAGGAAGGCTCCCCCGTCGATGCTGCATACTCCGCTTGCCGAGCTGGAGTACCAGCGTCGACGGCGAGCACTTCCGGGATCGATCCGGGGCACTTCCGGGATCCATCCGGGATCGATTTATCGTGTCTTAACCAGACGCGATAAATCGAACTCAGAACATCGATTGCTTACATCCGGACCCGGATGTAAGTGTAGACGTACCCCAAGTCTCAGTGATTTAAGCAGGAACTGGATTGATAGTGAAACTTACAAAGGCAGCTGACTGAACAGCTATGGCTCTTAACAAGCATCTTAACTGTTAATTAGCCAGTTATTGGGGTAACCGGTTTTATGAATGAATATTGTTTCATTCATAAAACTTTACTTATGAAGTTACATTAATAAAGTAAACAATTAAAAACAATTTTATTCATGAGTCCTACAATATCTCATCATGGAACAGGGATTATAAATTCTAATTCTATAGTACGAAACAATATAGTCATGTAATGTTTAAGAAAAGTTTTGTAAATGAGTTCTAATAGTTCATGGATTAGGGACGCAATCTTATGGGGTTCTACAGACTTCGTATAGATTATTTAGGTTAATCTTTCTATCTACCCAATGGGACTCAGTGCTCAGTCTAGAAGATACCATCAGAGATGCTTAGCTTTGCAGTTCTCAAACTGTGGATTTCTGTCTCCAGAGGTAACATGCTTGTTAACAGCAAAAATGGTTTTAAATAAATAGATAAATATATATATAGAGACGTGAGAAATAACAGATCTCAACTCTATTATCCCTCTGCAAATTTCTGTACAGTGTCAATCCCTTACCTCTCTCTCTAAAAGTTCAATAAATAGAAGATTGTTGGGGGCGGAACAGATCTGGACAAGGAGAAGTCTGGAGATAAATGTGAGAAGTGAGGGACATATGCTTGTTTTGTTAAAATATTATATGTTTGCTGTTGAAGAAAAAAATCCGAAATACTTAATGTTGTTTTAGTTAAAACAATTTAAATGTCTGTCTGGTGGTGTTCTCCTCCTAATACAGCCTGGCAAGAAAATCCTCCAAATAGTAATGATTAACCTGTTGAATTGGAGATAGTTCACCTCTCAATGACTTCATAAATATCTGCTTCAATTACCTTTGGTAAATGAAATAACCAAACAATCATTCATTTTCTGATATAGCTGTAAAACTAATCTGAAAAGTTTTCAAAATAAATCATTGTTTAAAAACATATAGTGTGTAGTTTCTAAAAATGAAACCTACATCTGAGTTGTGAAAAATATGTATTAAGATAACAACCAACAAGAA